TTGCACAGAAATTGGTTGCTGATAAGTTTTACTTAAATTTTGTGGGTATTTGTGAGTGTGCTGACCAAACCCTTACCCCATGGGTCAAGGTTATGCCAGAAAAACTCTTCTTAGAAAGCTCCAAGTACAAGGTCTTTTCCTAACTTTAAACAGAAAGCGCTACGTGAACCTATGTCTCCTTTGTACTTTGGAACAAAGGAAAACACGGTATTTTTAGGATTCATACATGTGCCTGGGTTACTTATGAGCATATGAAATTGACTCAAAGTAAGTCATCGTTGACAATTACACCAACAAAAGAGGAAAAGAAAGATTAGAATTTGGATATATTTATATGTGATTAAAAGGAAATCGGAGTGAGGAAAATTAGTTGACAATTTTCACATTGGCTGCTTTGTTCGAAATGGAAGGGAAAAACCATTGCTAATTAATCTTCAAGCTGAAATCATTACTCATGCCTCCCATTTTTTAATCAATTCATTTCCTCATCGTCTTTTTGTGTTCTGGAAGCAGTTTCTTCACATCAACTTTCCCATTTAGTCATTTTCCTGAGCTTTTAAAGTTTCACCTCTGAGTGACATGCAATACCTTGAACATAGTAGGTAAACACATGCCTATTACCCTGAATTAAAGTGTCTTGAATTCTTATTTAATTGTCTCTTAACTATATACCTTTTTCCAATGAGACCGTAGATACCTCAGAATCAAAGGTACCTGAACCTTCTTTCCTCTCTAAACCCTAATACCTGGAACACACTGTTACTACGTAAATATCAACTGAACTTGATTATTTAAACATGGAAACATGGATATATAGCAGATACTTAGGAACTGAAGGATTATAGTTTTACGGCATTTCATAGGAAGCACTTCGGTAAAGCCTAGTGTCGCAAGAGGAGCCAGACGATGTTAGTTCACCCAGAATCAGACATGGTGCCGGTGTGGCTGCAGCCGCTGCTGTTGGCCCTGTTACTTTTGTTGGTCAAATCTTTCATCCCCCAGTGTTTTCACAACAGTAAGTGGGAAATACGAGTTCAGCTAAGACTATAACACTCTAGTTATTGACTTGCTTATTTTATTTATAAGGCACCAGTGGGTTATCTCCACTGAGGTTATCTCAGGCCAGTAGCAGATTTAGTTCTAAAAAAGAAAGGAAGAAAGGAAGAAAGGAAGGGAGGAAGAAGGAAAGGAGGGAGAAAGGAAGGAAGGAAGGAAGGAAGGAAGGAAAGGAAAGGAAGGAGGGAGGGAAGAAAAAAGTTCTGGCAGGAAGGAAAAAAAGAAGCAAAATTTAGAAGATTAAACTTGAAGTCTCCTTTCTTAGAGTCTAAAGGTAGGATATAAAATGATAATAATAATAATAATAATAATAATAGTAATAATAATAATAATAATAATAATAATAATAATAATAATAATAATAATTTCACTGATCTGTGAAATACTGAGATTTTATTTTGGTCTATGGACCAAGCTCTCTGCTCCTCGGAGGTTACGTATCCTCCAGGCATCCATTCCCTCCCTGTGCTTAACAGCTGTATATCTGCAACACACACCGACTCTCTCTGTCTCCCATCTGACTCCTCTCATGAGAATACTAAATTGGCTTAAATCATGTGGGAGCAATATAAATACTGTTTGGTGATGAGGATAAATTGGTTCAAATCACATAGGTACTTTCCTAAGTGCTGACTGATGAGGAAGTTTAGATGTGCTGCAGTTTATAAACAAAATGAAGTTACCTGGTGAGATATGAGGGGGTAGGTATAATTTTTGTGCTTAAGAAGTATAAAAGGAAGAGAAGTGAACACATCCTGAATCATTCTATGAGGCTACTACTACCCTGATTCCCAAACCAAAGACATCAAAAGGAAAGAAAACTACAGACCAATATCTCATGAATACAAATGCAAAAAGAGTCTTAACAAAATGTAAGCAAACCAAATCCAGCAACATATAAATAGGATTATATACCACGACTAAGTAGAATTTACCCCCTAAATGCAAGGTTAGTTTAATACCTAAAAATCAGTTAGTGCAACACACTGTATCAACAGAATAAAGGTTGGAAATTACACGATCATCTCAGTAGACATAGAAAAGGCATTTGGCAAATCTTAACATCCTTTTATGATAAAAAACACTCAACAAACTAGGACTTCTTTTATCAGGCTAAAGAAGGGAGCTTCTGTGAAAAAGCATTGGTGAAAAACCCAAAGTTAATACTATGTCTAATAGTGAATGCTTTTCCTTTAAGATCAGGAGCAAGACAAGGCTGTGCCTTCACCACTTCTGCTTAACATTATACTGGAAGTTCTAGCCAGGGCAACTAGGCAAGCAAATGAAACAAAAAACATTTATATTGAAATGAGGAAGCAAAATTATCTCTATTTGGAGATGACATGATCTCATTATAGAAAATCCTGAGGAATCCACCAAGAAGTGGTTGGCACTAATAAAGGAGTTCAGCAAGATTGCAGGATACAAGATTAATATACAAAAGTCAGTTGTACTTCCATACACTGGCAATGGACAATCCAAAAATGAAATTAAGAAAACAATTCCATTTTCAATCACATTATAAAGAATAAGATTCTGAGGAATAAATTTACCAAAAGAAATGCAAAATTATACTCTGAAAACTACACAACACTGTTGAAAAAAACTTCAAGAAACCTAAGAACATGGAAAGACATACCATGTTCATAGAATAGAAAAACAACGAAGCTATAGTAATGAAGACACACAGCAATATTGGCACATGGATAGACGTATAGGTCAGTGGAATAGAACTGAGACTCTGTAAATACATTCTTACCCATATGGTCAGTTCATTGATTTTTGACATAGGTACCTGGGTAATCCAATGGGGAAAAAGTAGTATTTTCAACCAATGATACTGGGGCAGTTGGATATCCACATGAAAAAGACTCCAGCTGGACTTCTTTGTCACACCTAAGTAAAATTTAACCCAAAATGGATCATAGACCTAAATGAAAAACCTAAACCTGTAAATCTCTGAGAAGAAAATGTAGGAGTTACTCTTCTCAGCTATGATACCAAAAGCAAAAGCAACAAAAGAAAAGATGGATAAATTAGACTTTCCCAAAATTAAAAACTTTTGTACTTCAAAAGATACCATCAAGAAAGTGGAAGGCAGCTTCTAGAATGGAGACTGCAAATAATGGGGAAATATTTGCAAATTATATATCTGATAAGAGGCTTTTATTCAGAATGTATAAAGGACTATTACAACTTATTAATAAAAAGATAAATAACCCAACTTTAAAAGAGCAAAGGATTTGAATAGCTATTTAACCTACGAAGATAAAAAACGTCAAAAAAGCATGAAAAATGCTCAACATCATTAGTCATGAGAGAAATGCAAACCAAAACCACTACAAGCCATCATATCTATTAGGACTGTTACAATTAAAAAACCAGATTGTAACAAGTGTTGACGAGGTGGTGGAGGATTGGAACCCCTCATATATTGCTGGTGGAAATGTAAGTGGTGCAGCTGATTTGGAAAACAGTTTGACAATTCTTAAAAATGCTTAATGTAGAGTTATCGCATGACCCAGCAATTCCACCCATCAGTGTACGTGCAAGAGAAATGAAAACATATGTCCACAGAAAGACTTGTCCACAAACATTCATAGCAGCATTATTCATAATAGCCAAAAGAGTAGAAGCAACCTACATGTTCATTAGCGGATGAATCAATAAAATGTGGTATATTTATACAAGTAGATAATATCCAGCCACAAAAAGGAGTGAAATACTAATACTTGTTATAACATGGATGAACTTTCAAAACATTCTGCCAAGGAAAGAAGCCAGTTGCAAAAGACAGCATATTGTATGATTCCATTTATATGAAATGTCTAGGAAGCAGACAAATACTGAACGAAAGAATAGTAGATTAGTGGTTGCCTAGGACTTGGGGTTTAGGAGATTGAGAGGAGGAATGAGGAGTGACAGCTAATGGGTATGGTGTTTCTTTTGTGGGTGATGAATGTTCTAAAATGGATTGTGGTGGTGATTGCATAACCCTTTAATATACCAGAAATCGTTGAATTGTACAATATAAGTGGGTGAATTATATGGTGTGTATCTCAATAAAGTTGTGGATCCATCTACTTTTCTCCCTGAAGTAAGGATATAAGAGGAGAGCTTTCCATTTATTCATACAAGCCCTTGACCGGATTCTTCTCCAGGGAGAAGAGGTCCCTCTCTGAGTGGAGAAATAGGGAGAATCTGACACCCTATTTGATTCCTACTGGAATCAAAGAAGCAAATCTAAGAAGAGAACTTCCCTGTCTTTCTTCCCTTCTTTCCTTTCTCCCTCCCTTGTTCTCACTCCTCTCTATTTCCCCACAGCCACATGAAGTCCCTCCTCTTGCAAGGGCTACATGTCTTTCTGAAGTGACTTTGCCTTGAACTGGAAGGAGGTCTGCATCAGATTGGGAGGTAGACAGCTCCATTACCCTCGCATTGAGTTTTACCATCAGCAGACTGCTAGGTTGCTGTTTCGCTCGGGTCTTGGTGTTTATTTATAAGCCCCTTGAAAAGAAATGTAAGTAGTAGCATGTGCTCACCAAACTGACCTTGAATCTCCGGCACCACTAACGAGACCTTCTTTCTCTGCCCTCACGCTTCTAGTCTTCTTCAATGTAGAAGACTCTTTAGACACTATACAAGTTTTACTGCTCTGTCGAACTGCTGCATAGAGGAGAAAATTGACAAGAACAGGGACAGATCAAATAATGGAGACAGTTCTCCTTAAGCAGACATTTAAAAACTAATATTAGCTTAAAAGATCCTGGACGTCACCTAAAATTTTAGGTATAGAGTTATGAGAGGTAAAGTGCAGTTTCAAAATGTAAAATGCTGTTTTGGAAGGATTCAGTAATAACAGATAGAAAGAAAACTGCAGCTTTGGTACGATGTGCCTCTGTTGTGTCTACTCTGTATCTAGTCCCAGACTCTTAAATTAGAGCTGTGCTCTTCCACTGGTCGTCTCATGGATGATGTGTGGAAATCAGTCATCTCAACCAGTCAGCCCTCCGCCTTGCTGAGTTCTGTGCGGGGTGGAATATATACCCACAGAACTAAAGGAGAGTCAAAACTGCATCCTTATAAACAGAGGCACGGTGTTTCCTAAAGTCCATGGGAAAGCTGGACTGGAGACATTGTATCAGACTAGAGCCAATGTAGTGATCTTTCCCTAACAAATCCTGTATCTAGATATTTTTCCCCTCCAGCCTGTAGGAGAATTAGGTCTTCAAGGCATCCCTGCTAAGATTTCCTTAACAGCCAACTGCATGGAAGGCTGTGGTTTGCCTCACAAATCCAGCTGCTGTCAGAAGAGAGTCTGCCAGAGCCCATTGTTAAGAGATGGATAACCTGCCTCCCTTTAGAACGACAGGGCCAGGAGTTATTCCTGCACAAGATGAGAAAGCTGAGGGCAAACTCTGACCTTTCTTATGCATCTGTTACACAAGTAGTGCAGGAGAGAGAAATGGGGTTCAGCTTATTTACTGTTTTAGAGGAACAGTGGCCAACCCACGGGTACATTGTCACAAGTGTTATCAGGCTCTCACCCTTAGATCAGCTATTTCCAGTGCTTAGAAGAGTGATGTCAAAGAGACAAAGGAAAGGTTGGCAGTGTGCTCTCCAGCACTGTCTAAAGGAGAGTGGAACTGAAGTGTCCTCTTCATGGGAACAAAAGAAGTAGGGATAAGTATCCCCATTGCAACATACTACAGCACCAAAAATCTCCGGAGCTCGGAGGCACACATCCAGTGCTTAAGTTTACAATAAATCTTTACTAAGTGGCAAGAACTGCCTTAGGAAATGGTGACATAAAAATCAAAGCAAGACAGATACTGCCCTGAAGATCACAGTCTACTCTCTCTGGGGTAAGAGGCTGAAGATTTGGGTTCTGGTCCTGACTACCGAAAGGACTCTCCATTTCCTAGCCGTTAAACGAAGGAGAAAAGTGGTCTGTCTGTCTCAGGAGTAGTCCTGAGACTCATAGGCAGCTGTGTTCCTCAGGACCCCTTTGTGCAAATCTCCCCCTCGGGGGGTTCTTCCTTTGTACCCAGTCTACTTTGTCAACACACCATCATTTTAGGAAAGGATATGAGAAACTCATTCACCAGAAGAAACAAAGAACTACCATGCTTACAAGGTGGATCTTCCCAGCAGTATTTCCATTTGCATGGAAGACTAACTCCTGAAGTTGAATTCTGAAATAGTTTCCACTTGTAGATTCCCATGTAGTAACAGTTTTTTTCCCTAGCATTATTCTAAAGTGGCAGACAACCCCACTGACAAATCAGGCCAGCCCTGCTGCATGGAGAGCCAGTATAGAGAATCTGTGTCTTTTTTTAATATGTATTAGTTTATCCGCAGACTTTATAAAGCTATCCGAGAAGTATTCTGAGGCTACCCTGCCTCATGAGAGAGAAGCGGGTGTTTTCTTTGAGGACCTCCACAGGTGGGGAGGACAGGCTCCGTGCAATAGTGATCTGGCCACGTCTGTCACAGAAATCACCCCACCATCAAATCAGAAGGAAACATAATTACCCACAACAGAACAGGAGACGGAAGGAGTGTAACAGTGCACAGCATGTGAATACCAGTCCTTGGCTGTAATTGAGAGACGAGCACAGGACCGATCACAGCTGTTCCCTATCCTGCCTCAGTCTGCTTCTGAGCTTAGCACGTTGAGGTACAAAACCTTTCTCAACCCTAGACTTAAAAAATATTCCTTCAGTACCGGCTACCTCCATGACACTGCTGGGCACTGAAGGGCAAACAAAAGACGAAGACATGGTCCTTGATTCCAGGGGACTTTCACTGCAGTACAGGGCTTCTGATGGAATTCGAGGCAGATGTCATCAGAGAAGCAGTTAAGGTGTAAGGGGATGAGATTATTGGCCTGCAGAAGGTGGAAGGTTCCATGCTGTTTTGTCCAGTATTTGAAGTGCAGGTATATGGCAAAATAATTGGCATATATTCCAAAGGATACAATTAGGAGTAAATACTGGACATTTCAGGGTGACTAATTTCAACTCTAAATATGGGAGAACTTTCCAACTTTCAGGAAGTATGTGGGCAGGATATGCACTTGGGCACATAGGAAAAGTACACACATTACAGGAGAGCTGAGTGTGGGCTCAGGAGACATCATGATTTGCATACTGTAGGTGCTTAATGAGTGTCTGCTGATTAGTTGACTGATTTCTTTGAGAGGCATGCTGTTTTATTAAAGTTTCCCATACCAGTGCTAACACAGTCTACCCCTTGGGAAATCTCAAAAAGTGTCAAAAGAGATAATGCACTTTACAAGCTGCCAGCATTCTTTTATCAGCTCTTTATGTAACATTTCTGGGTCCTGAATTGTTGTCAGTTAATTATAGGTGAAAATGTTCTGAAAAGAATAATGTGGACCTGTTTGTTCTTTTTAATTTTGTAATTGCTGAGGTAGCCCTAGGTTTCCATGTATCTCCAAGGATTAGAACTTTCTGGTGGTCACGTGGCCAAAAATCATCCTCCTCAGGTCCAGTTAGCTGTTTCAGAGTCATAGCTATCTGGAGGTCGGGCGGGGGGTGCATTTGACTCTTTCTGACGATTGTTTCTTGATTATTCTTTACTGAATGGAAATGGGCAGGACTAAGTCCAGGAGGATTCTTAAGACAGAAAGGAGTCAGATTTGTCCCAAGAGGGCAGTAAGAGTTTCCTACCGTTTTCACTCCTTGAAGCTGTGTTTGATTGCCTGGCTTGTGACCATGATTAACAGTCATTTCTATTGGTGGCTTCAAGAATGAGACACAGCAGTGTGTTGTAGTACACTGGGAGCATATAGCTAAGACCTTTAATGAATGTTCGCCCATAAATAAAAGTGATGGCTACTATTTATTGAGTTTTTAATATATGCCAAGGACGCTGGTGAGCCCTTTCTGTAAATTACCTCATTTCTTCTTCTCAGCAACACTGTCAGCTTGGGGCTTGCGTTTTCTGCTCTGCACATGAGGAAACCGATCAGAGAGGCTGATATCAAGGGTGTGCGGTTAGGAAGGTGCGCAGCTGGGGTTTGAACCCCAACCATGAACACAAGAGCCAGTATCAGGACCCCCTCCCCTCCCCTGCTATTCGTCCATCCACTGTCCTCTATTCTCTGACTTCGAGAATTAACACCTAACATTTTCTGAGATAAACCCTGCTGATTAATTTATGCTGTGATTAAAGCTAAACTAAGCTGTGTACTCTGAAAGGGGACAGATTACAGGGCGATATGGTCAGAAGAGGGCCTTTTACCCTGAAAGGGAAATCTACTCATCAAGGATATATTCAAGTCACCGGTTCAGTCATTTTGAGAGGACCCTCTAGAAAAAGGTCTCCTTACCCCACCCGCAACACCCCCAATCTTCCTACCCCCAGGGCTGGTGGGACTCAGCCTACGGCCCCAAAGCCCTCCTGGGCTCTCTCCTCCTGGAAGCAAGTCTGGTTTGCTCTGTGAGCCGCAGAAAAAATTAATGGCTGGAAAGTTCCCTTTCAGCTTCTTTCCTGCTGGCGGAGAGCAGTTCCAGTAGCTTGGTCTGAGTAAGAACACACACATACGGAATGCCGCAATTGGTTGAATCCAGTTAACTAAAATCCTTTACCAATCAACTTTTTTTTTTCTTCAAGTAACTTCTAAGGACAAAAAAGGGCAGATTTCGAAATAATCGTCAGGGAAGAAAACTTTTAAACTTTTCTCTGGGCCTGCTGGTACACAGTCAAACTCCCTCATTTCTACAACGGTATAATACTGTTCAGTAATAGCTGTTGTTTGTGGGAACGCTGCTTGTGGGCCAGAGGTTTGTACAAAGGGATTCAGGTGTCTGTGTTCCCTTTAATACAGCCATCCTTCGAAGCAGGTATCATTACTGTCTCCATTGAATAGATTGTATAGACCTGCCCCAGGTCACACGTCAAGTAGATGGTCATGAGGAAGCTTGAATCCACAGGACTCAATTCTTTAACCAATATGCCAGACTTGCGTCCTGATTACTGGTGCATGATAAAACGATGACTCGGAAGTCTATCATTCGATAAATAATAATAACTAACGTTTATTGAGTGCCTCCTAGGTCCCAAGCCTGCTCTAGGCATGTTACCACTGTTCTCTCATTTAATCTTCACACTAACCCATTAAAACAGGTGCTGTTTTTGTCCCTATTTTCCAGAGTAGGAAAGTGAAATACACAGAAGTTGAGCCAATCCTCCCCATACTGCACATCGCAAAGGGACGGAGCCAGTACCAGAAGCAAAATGTGTTACTCCAGAGTACATTTTTAATTGCTGCACATAAAGCCTTTTCCCTTCTTTTTTTTTTTTTTTGTCTAATGCATTTTCGAAAGATCTCCAATAAAGTTAATCAACCAATACACGTTGAATCGAAAAGGAAGTTCTGGTTGATTAATTTAATGACTATTCAAATAATCAGATGATCCAATTCCGGAGCTTTCTGGTTAATTGAGTTTCCACTGGCTTCAGGACGTTCTGTTCGGAGAGAGTTCTAGTTCATGAGATGTGGAATTTATCTTCATTGGTAAGAAAGGCAGTTTTCAAGGATGCTCCCAGAAAACTTGCCCTTTGAAGCATTCTGCTTTTATCAAGCATTTGTGCTGCAACTTTGAAGATTTTCTTTTGAATAATATTTATGAGACACCAAGACTGTGCATCATTTAAATCTGCTAAGTAAGATTCCTTCCATTTCAAACATGTTTTTTAATGATTGAAGCAGATATTTTAAAAGCATTCTCCAGCTCTTGGTGTTAGAGAAATCCTAGGTCATCATTGCTTCTGCTCTCTGCAACTTAGAAGATCCCCGAAGCTTGTAACGAATGAACTGTTAAACTCAGACATATGAATATGATGCGGTTTTCAAATGGGACAAATGGGAGGTACTAAACTTCAAAGCGATGACATTTTACCTCATCTTCCTAGAGGAAGGCACTCC